CACACACACACACACACACCAAATTGGCATTGGCCAGAACTTCATTTTTTTCTTCCCTCTTTTTTTTTTTGATTAAAAAAATAGTTCTAATTTTCATCTTGTATATCAATATATATTTGTGTATATCCACAGGAAATTATATATTGTACACTGAGATATACAAAAAACAAAAAGAAAATATTGATATACATCTTAATATATACAAAGACAGAAAATAAAGTTGAGATATACTTTTTGATATACACATTATTTGATATGTTATACATAGTGATATACAAACAACACAATTATTTTTGTGTTATACACTTAGATTTAAACACAACAATAAATGATAGACAATTATATTTATAATTTCATATTTTAAATACACAAAGAAGGAAAATAAAAGTTTGATATACACAAAAAAGAAAATTAAGATTGTGATATATATTTTGATATACATATTGTTATTGTGATATACATTATTGGCTACTTAATGCCAATAGTTGAAAAATGGGTTAATTCTAGCCAATTAGTAGACTCAGTTGATATACGGTGCCAAATTCCCAAGAATAAAACAGACTTTTGAAGCAAAGATGCAATTGGGCCAATTCCATCGTACCCCTAAATGGTTTGATCTGAGCCCAATAAAAGCCCAAACATTTTAATTAAATTTCTATGGTATCAATTTAATGAAGGTGGAATTGCCACGTAGGTGCGGCTGTTAACATGAACAAAAACATAGGACTTATTAACTTCTTCTTCATAAAGTCATCAGTTTTCTGAATTGTTTGGCGAAATATGCAAATGGCTTTGAGAGTGGCAGCGCGTCCTGTTGTAAGACGAGCCAACATAGCTCTGCTCTCACTTCCTCCTCATTATCTCACAACCAAATCCCACGTTTTTGCTTCAAAATTTCTACCCAATTCAACCCCTCCTCTGCTGAATCAAAATGGTAACACTTTGATTTTGCTCACTTTAAGAGAAAAATCTCTTTTACTCTTTATATGATCGTAATGATGAAACTTGGGTTGATTTCAATTTCTGTGTTTTTTTTTTTTTTTTTTTTTTTTTTTTTTTTTTTTTTTTTTTTTTTTAAATTCTAAGGACCAAGATATTCGATTAGAGCAATCAGTGAAACAAATGTGGATCCTGTCGCACAAAAGAAGGATAATGAAGGCCACGAAAACTGGAAAATTAAGATGCTTTACGATGGAGACTGTCCCTTATGCATGCGTGAGGTAATGAACAAATAAATAAATAAATAAATTCTTCTCCTTTTAAATCTTTGAATTACTAGTAAGAGATGCTGCTCTATTATATATTGGATGATGGTTTTCTTAGGTTGACATGTTAAAAGAGAGGAACAAAGGTTATGGAACAATCAAATTTGTGGACATTAGTTCTGATGAATACAGCCCAGAGGAGAATGAAGGCCTTGATTATAAGACGGTATGTTCCTTAACTGTCTTTCGTATGTAGTGTAAGTTAAACCATTCATTAGTTATAAGTACATCCTATTTAATTATCTAGCAAGAACCTAGTTATACTAATGCATTGCCTAGCAGTTCATAGTTTTATCCACAACTTTTTTTTTTTTTTTTTTAATTTGTTATGACGCTGCTGTCCGGGCCAGATTGTGCATCTTGACTATTCACCGGGTACTTGCTACCTCCCACCATCACATGTACTAAGTCTGCCACTAAGACTTAAACAAATAGGAAGAAATCACCTAGTGTTTCTTCAGCATTTTCTTCTGTATCCATTGCTCGAGCTCCCTTCTATTTTTCAAGAAGCAATGACGATTTGTCACCACTTGTTTAGGTTATGGGAACAATACATGCAATACTATCAGATGGAACTGTGGTTACAAATGTTGAGGTTTGGCAAATTTTGATACTTATAATTTTCTCCTTCATATTTGAAAGTTTACATTTGTTTCATCTCTTTTATTACTGGTTTAGGCATTTAGACGACTCTATGAAGCAGTTGGGTTAGGATGGGTGTATGCCATTACAAAATATGAACCTGTAAGTCCTCTTCAATTCTAACTTTCTATTGTTGTGCCACACCAGTTGGCATGTTCTCATGAATGATTGTGATTTGCAGATTGCAACTATTGCTGATACTGTGTATGGAGTCTGGGCAAAGTATCGTCTTCAGATAACAGGTTAATCCCATTTGATTGTTATGTTTCCAACTGTCCATATAAAGAAGTCTCCAGATAAAGAGCTATCCCCTTTATAGAACCCGTATTCCTATAGATCACATGCATACATAGATATTAGACATCTATTTTAGTAGTTACCACCTTCAATCATTTGGAAATCTTTAATGCAGTAGTATTTTGTTTCTCAGTTTTTATAATTAATTTTTAAGCAGTTTAAAAACTTTTCCATCATGGAATGACAGAAGGAAAGTTTTTTCCAACAGACTAACAATATAGAGAGTTACTTCTTTGAGAGTTGTTGTGCTAATGAGGCACGTGTCTTTTGGCCCATTTGGGCGGTGTAATGTGGATTTGAACAAAGGGGGTAATTCTTGAGAAAGTTCTAATGGATTCGATATTTTTGGCAGATTTGTTTGCGGCTAAAATCTGAGATTTAAGTCGGATGGTGTCGAGACTTGTGGCATTTTTGTATACCATTATGGATTTTATATTTTGGTATCAAGAAGGTGAATGAAACGACCTTAGACTCAAATAAGGTATTTTCAAAGGGGGTGTTTCAGTTGTGGTATTTATATGGGTAATTATGATGTGGGGAGACTCTACAGATGTTTTGGTGATAATATTCTTAGGTTTGGTGATGTACATGGTTTGGTCGACTTAGAGGAATTTAGTTCCATTGAAAGAATTCTAACGGCATTACATTTGTTGTGATATCTTATCATGCCGTCATTTTTGCACTTTAGAAACCCCAGCTTACAGTCTCTAAAACAATTTCCTGAAGTGGTATTTCTTGTTACAGGTCGACCACCTTTAGAAGAAGTTATATTGGCACGAAAGAATAAGGTGGGTAAAGACTACAGTGTCCCTATATGGTCATCATTTTCTTTAAGCTAAGTTCTTAGTTATTGCTGTTCATACCATTTAAAGGATTTCAACTAAACGCGTAATCACAAAGAAAGCCCTTTTCTTATCCCTGCCAGTCAATGTATTTATTATACGAGTACCTTTCTCAGCCTTTCAATTGATATGCCGGTTGCATCATGTACTGGCTTCAGATCCATAAATATTTGGACCTATTTATGCATTCAGCTTTTTCCTCCTGTTAGCATTGAAGAAAAATGCAGTTTAGATTTTTGAATCTCATGTCTGACACATGGAAATTGAATAAGATCTGGAGAGAAAGGAATATTACACTTAAATTTCCTCTTCTGGCAGAAAACAAACCTGACTAGATATTTAGTTTGTCTTTGACTAAAATGTTGAACTTATGTCAAAAGACATTTAATAGATAAAGCATAAGGAGGAGCATTTTGTTTGAACTATGTTTTTGATACATAAGGAGGGCTACAAACTACTAAGATGTTGCCTTTGTTGTTTCTTTCTATACAGGAGGAAATGTGCAAGGACAATAAGGCTTGCAAAATTTAGGAGTTTCAGAATGTTGGAACCATCGGAAGAGGATTCTCCTCCTTGTTATTGAGAAAATCCTACATACCTCGTCATGGTATGTGTTCTGCTAATAAGTGAATCCCAAAAGTAATTCGTTTCTGCAGTATTCATCATGGCATTAGAATGAGATCTATCAGTAGTCATGCAGAGTTCCATGTTTCAGAAAGCCGAAAGATAAGACATGTAAATATGACAATCTAAAGCTTCTCCTTCACTTAGTTCAATTTTTTGTGGTAATGCTTATATTTTACACCTCATGTGAAATGGTCATAAATGATAGCTCATAAAAAAACCAGGTGCAGTTGTACAGCAAATCATTTCTGATGAGATAACTAACCGCGATCAATAATTTTCTATGTTGTCAGGATTCAGAGGACTTCTATAAGGAAAAATAATGAAATAAGGCAACATGTATGATTTCTCCAAGTTAGACAATTCAGCCAACATGTGTGATGAGAACATCACTTGAGAAGGCATAGAAGCAGTTTGTAAGTGTTAAGAGTGGCATTGGAAAGAACTTTAAGTAGTGCTAGTTGAGGACATAAGAAAAGGAGAGAAAACTAGTACAAACTAAACAAAAAAAACTAAGTTGATTACATGAATACAAAGAAGATATAGGATATCCTAATGGTGAGAATTTTTTACACTTCGAGCTCAACTAGTAACCTTAAACGAGGTGCTCAATGAAAATTCATTTTCCTTGTATGTAGCTTGAAAAATAAGAAAACCAGCATAGATACTACAACAAATTATTGAGAGAGAGAGAGGCATACACTAGCATCGAGTAATTTCTAGTTTACCTTTACGTGTTGTAGTAGGTAACTTGTCTTATTTTTAAGATTAACATTTTAAGAAGGCTTTACCTGCAGATATCCATTGAATGACCTGATAGTATAAAAAATTCTTTATACTGATGGTGTTTATAGCTTAAACTCTTTCCATATTACTAGAGCAACAAGTTATTTTTCTTTGATAAGCATAAAAAAGAATCATACCTGTGTCGTCTCTACAAAATTACCAGATGAACACCATCATTTCTTTTTGTTGCAGTTCTATCCAATGCAACTTGTTGACTATTTTCTCAACAAGTCAATTAGTACTTCCCCATGCGACTTTAGTTTTCCTTTCTTGACTGGCTCTTGGAGCTCCACCTGGTAAAATGTAGCTCAAGTATGAACACAAAGTCTTGTCTCACCAAGTATTATTTCAACCCCCTTTGTTGTTGGCAACATCATATGAAGCAACTTTGGCTACAGAATCAAGAAACTTATTCTAAAAGGGACTAAAAAAGAAAAATATGGTATTGAATTGAGTGGCGAGCAACAAAAAGAGGGCTCCTTATTTAGGAGTTTAGATTTCACGAAATAAAGACTCTTAATTATTGGGATTCTTAATTATGAGACAATAATCAATAGTATTATATATAATTAACCTTGATATGAAATGAATCTAAATACATTCAAACATAAAACGGTATTAGACTTTAAACATGCTAACATACAACTATATTAGACTTTCAACACGCCCTCTTAAAGTAAATTGAGAAATGCTAAATGAAGTACTACAGGTTAAAAATTGAAGACTTAAAAGCAGCACTGCAGCAGAAGGAGTAACTAGAATCTACAGGGAAAGGTTATGCTTCGATAAAGAGCTCTGAGATGTATGCTACCAACTGATAATATCACGAGAGTAGTCAAAACTCTTTCTACTATAGCACTTAAAAATCTTTAGCAATCAGAAAAATCACTAAGAAAAAATGGACCTGCTGTCAAACTCTATAGTAACAGGCTAAAGCCACAGAATCAAATGACTTTCCGCTTCTTCAGAACTTGAATATCTAATGCTGCAGCTCTTCTTTTTGCACAGAGCAATATTAAGACACCGAACAACAATCTCCACCGCCTCTGCGCTTTTACCATAGGGGCAGAACCATCATGAGGTTGATGAACATCGGATTCAAAACCAAAGTCTTCACACCCAAAGTTGAATTCGTTAATCAAAATATCTTGGAATGTAGGACTATATATTGGGAAGTTAGAGAAATCTAGGTTACTGATACTGGTGGAACCACAACCATTCAGACTGACTGCACTTGCAACTCTGGAGGTATGACAATGTCCATCACTTATTCTTAAATTCTCAACACCGTTATTGGTGCTAGGAACCTCTCGACTTGGAGAATTGAAAGGGTTCATTGATGGCGATTTTTGAGAAAGATATTGCACAAGAGATGTCTCATCATCAACCGGTATCACATGATCCCAATGTTCACATGCAGATACTAGCAGCCTCTGAGCCTTAGCCTGTCAATGTCACTCCAGAATAGTAAGAAAACAGCAATAGAAATGAGATAAGAGCAACAAAAGGAAAAATAGGGAAATGGAGAGAATTTTGGTCCAAAAATCATGCCTTATCACTTTCAGATAACTGATGCATAGGTAGATAATGGGACTCCAGAATAAGCCCTAGCACCTCTCCAACAATGTTAAAAACCACACCTTCCTTTTCTTGAAAGTCAATAAAAGAGTACATCCGTTCATTAATTATGCATCTTCGAGCATGGCTTAATGTCTCCTCCAATTGTCTTGGCTTTAGATTAAGTACCTGAAAATCAACAAATAGATACGTACTAGCTTTAGGTTGTAACGAGGATGAAACATATCTTTACAATGAAAAATTGATTTTAGATTTTTAATCTTAATGCTAACTACTAATACAAGGTTAAATTGGCAGCATAAGCCATGATCATATAGTAGGTCTAGGTAACCAATCGACGAGTTAGTAAGTTTTCAGAATTAGCCCTTAAAGATGCATTCAGTTCAGCAACAAATAAACATGCTTATCTCGGTAGAAAGCACTCTGTAGGATGAAACTTAAAAAGAAAAGATAAAACTAAATACACATATGAGACGGTCATGGTCTTTGAGGAGCAAAATCAGAAAGTCCTCTACTGTGTTGACATTTTCAACCCTGAGGTTCTTCTTACTGCCTCTGCCTACGTTTATTAACCGATGTACCCCATCGGATAGAGATGGTGGATCATGCTTCTCATAATCTGCAAATAGAACCAGCAGTAATCAGCATGCACTCTAACATGTTAGATGGTTTCTTTATCTTCCTATTGTGCCTCATCACTACTGAAATATAGAGAATACTAAGAAAATTTAGTGAATCACATTTACGTCTGATTCTAATCTCCAAGTGCAAGGCCACAATATGTCACAACATTTAGAGGTTCAACTTCATAGCCAACTTTACTCTCATAGTTTTAACCATGCTACCATGTATGTTACCAGGTTATATTGATTAACTCCAATATGCGCCTACTCTGATATGTCTCCTAAAATGTAATCTAGAATTCTGATACTAGTCTAGTATAAAAACTTCACCAGGAAAATTTCCTCAAAAGCTATAGCAAAATTTTCTTTTCAAAACTTTGACTCCTGTAAGCACCCTCCTTTATCTGCTCATATCATGTAAATAGAGAGCGACTTACATTGCTGGCGCCCATCCTTGACAGTGAAAGATTCAGTCCTTGCTTCTTTTACTTGAACATTATTGAAAGTGTCAACAATTCTTGCACCTAGCCTGAACATACCCGTCCTCATATAGATTGAAGAATGTGTAAATCTGAGCTGATCTATAGAACCAACGCCTTTATTGAGTCTCACATGTACAGTTTCTGCAAGAAGAGACTTATTTCCTTTCCTCTCACTGACAATATTTCTACAGAACTCTTCAGCTCTCCAATTACATCCATCATCATCTCCAAATTCTCCCTTAAGAACAACTATTTCCACTTTAGCTGAGGCTTCTGGTCCAGATTCAACAATTTCTCCAGTATTATCATCAATTAAAGCCACTTCAATAGCATTACCTCCTTCTCCTTTAATTTCCACTCCGGTAAGTACAGGGTCGGATACCTTTGTCAAGAACTTTAACTTCAAGCTTCTTGGTTTGGGAGCTTGAATACCTTTCTCAGTGTTTCTGGATATGAGATTGACAATCAGATACTATCACTGGCTAAATAGATAATAGGAATACAGAAAAAACCAGAGAATGTCCCTTACCCCTTGGCAGTCAAAAACTTCTTCTCTGCCAGTTCAAGTTCGTGTTTTACCTGGATAGAGAAAGTAGATTAAGAAGAAGTCTTTGCAAGAAGAACATCAACTTCATAACAACTAAGTCCCCAAGAATTAAGTAGTATATGCTTTCTGGAGCAATAGCCACCGGATAGGAAATATTCACTAAAATACTTTCATGTTTTAGGTGGCGCTTGTTTTGAAAAATTGAAGAGTTTGAAGAACAAAACGCCACCTTAATGATTCTAAATCTGATCTGTAAAGTCATTGATTAACAATAACAAAAACTCCAGTGATTTCCCACAAGTGGGGTAATGTGTATGTAGACCTCACCCCTACCCCTATCTTGGGAAGGCGGAGAGGTTGCTTCCGATAGATCCTCAGTCCATAAAAGATGAAAATAAGCAATGGTAACAAGTAATTGTAAAGTCATTGATTCATATGACAGTTTTCATGATTTTCCCAATAATAATAATTGATACTAGTCAATCTTTTACTAACTTGACTAAATTCGGTAAATTGAAATGCTAGGGATCAAAATCCGTTGTGATATCATCTATGAGAATGTAAGCATCATTATGATGAAACCTGACTATAAACTAGAGCAAATTCCATAGATTTGAAGTTTGAGTAAAGTCTAATTGATCATATATACACTTACTGCTCAGAAGTTCAAGAATTGTACTTACAACATTACGAATCGAATTCTCCAACTTTGGCTTCAAAACGCGGTCAAAGGTCTGGATAACCATCACCTCCAGCAATTTCTTCATACTATATTATCAAAAAACAAAGAACGCAAGAATTAAGAAAAACATAAACCAGAAACTTGTCGAAGCAACATGAAGCAGAAGCAATTGTCAGACAAAGAAAAAGAAACACTAAGGTGAAGCGACTGTCACATAAAGAAAGAATCTTGAATTTATTGGGAAAAAATATTGGCGAATAAGCAGAATCCTTTTAATCAGTGGAAAAAAAGAAAGAGAAAAAAGGACGTTGAGTAAGAATATTCAGTACACAAACAGAAAGCCAGTCAGATTATTTGTCAAATATGATCACCACTGCATGGTTGAAGGGTAAACGAGATGAGAGTTGACTTACGTTGGTGAAGAGAAAAAGGTTAACAGCTCATCCTCTGAATTGCTGTTCTGTGTTCCTAATTCCTGATCCTGAGAATTCGACATTATGTCATTCATGTAAAGTATAAAGGTATAAAACTCAAAAGGTTTTGGATAAGTAGTAGTTAGAACAAATGTAAAGTAGTTTATGATTGGGGTTATGAAAGTGAATAGGTAGAAAAACAAGCAACACACATATATATATAGGGAGTGAAGACTTTTCTTGACAGATTGACAAGGAATGTGGGTCCCATTGAAGGCGTGTTCCTACGAACAAGAGCCGACCCAATTGAGAGGAACACACTCTCCTACACAACCTATGTCGTCGTTGCCCTGGATTTTGTTTCTGTACAATTCAATCTTAAAATTTGGTCTTTTTATCCTTAGGCTTTTGATCGAGTTCACAAGCTAATTTCACGTTTTATATTATTTTAATTTACTACTGTGATAGTTTCAAAACCTTGTTGTAATTAGAAGGAAAAATATAGTATATAGTTGCTCTCAAAATAATAGCCGAAAATATATATTTTTGATATATATATATATGTATAAATTTTATACACTTTTGTGGCTACCAAATATAATTAGTTTTGGCTGTGGGCTAAAAGTAATCTTTGCCTTTGTCAAGAAAATATTCACATCAGTCAAATGTGAATAGCAACAACAATAACATACCATAATCTCACAAGTGGGGTTTAAAGAGGATAATATGTATACAAACCTTATCCGGACCATCGGCTCCGGAAATGTGAATATCGATTTGATGTTTTGTACTTCAATGACACACAAGAGGGGGATGATGTCCAATTTTCGCGTGCACTGATTATAGAAAGACCTGATTCTTCTAAGTGTTCCTTATACTACTGTTGCGAAAATAGTAAATGCGGAAAGTAAAGAACACAAGTATTTTTATGTGGAAAACACCCGGCTCAAAAGGTAAAAAAATCATGACCTACTACTCAATAGGATTTTCCCCAACACTTCACTAAATCACTAAGCCAAAATAACATTTACAAAACTCTTTGTAAACCTAAGGATTAACTCTAATCCCATTGTGGCAACCAACCTCTAAGTGTTGCGACAACTTCAAGTTAACTCTAACTTGAATACTCAGAGTACCTAATACAATTGCTTCTAGATAAAGCTGAAAGGTACAACTTGAAAACACCTACTACAATTGAACTAGAATAAAAGACAGACGTTTGGAACTGGTTCTTCTATCTGGTTCATGTAGCTTCAGATTCGCACACTTGAATCACACAAGAGTTGCTTGCAAAATGCCTTGCTATTTTGCTCTCAACTCACGTTTAACTTCAGCGTTTGTGCGTACCTATAGAATGAGAACATCCTGCAATATATAGAGTAAGTAGAATGTGAAATATTTAGAGTTCTAATGATACTCTTCTTTGGTGGAAGAGTTCTAGTTATCTTCAACTTCTAACTCCTCCGTTAGCTTGGATAAAGTTCTCTTCGAGTAAGGAGTCCTTCTCCTTATCATTTATGCAACATTTTCGATCAGGAGATATAAGATATAACAACTTAAGCTTATCTCCTTCACGTGCATCTCTTATGCTCGAATCTGCCCGTGTTTGTACACACTGTGTATGGACCTGGTTCATGCTCGAGTTCCTTTGTCAATCATCAAAACAAACTTCACTTGGGGCCAACAAATTCCCCATTTTTATGATGATAAACTCTGTGCTTTTCATAATCCTAGGCCCTGTGTCAACTTAGCTTAACATCAACACAATGTTAGAACACTTTCCATTTTAAAGTCACAAATCTTCAAGGACCAGGTTCATTAGGTTATAAATATCATAGTCCAAAGTAAAAGCACAACTTATCTTCCCCCTTTTGGCATCATCAAAAGTTGCATAGAAATTATGTTAGATAACCAGATTTTAATAGAAATCACTCATGGCCATTGGGGCTACTTCAAATGCAATCATGGAGTCAAACATCATTTATCAATATAATGATATTATCCATCTAAGAAGCATCAACAAACAGTTAGAGCACAAAAGAAGTTAATTATCATTGATACTTAGTCATCCACAAAGCATAAAGAGAAATAAAACATTGGATCATGAACAAAAAAAAATCCCATCCGAGTCACTGGTTGGTCTAACTAGGCTAGAAAGTTCTTAAGGCTGGGAAGGACCAAGTTCTTGGTTCTTGGCTTGGAGCAGTTTCAGCATATCCTGAAGAATGCCATCATTCTTCTACTTCTCTTCTGCAAGCCCATCTTTGAGAGCATCTCTCTCAGATTCTACATCTACCAACCTCTTCTTCAGCCTTTCAATTTCAACATTTGTAGCCCCATTCTCTTGCACCAAGGTTCGCACTTTGCTGTTCACATGTACCTTTTTGGATGAACCAGGTTCTTTGTAAGTGGTGTGGACTTCATAGTCATAAGCAGTTAGAGTGTTTGCCCCAATATGATCCTTGCTTGTACCAACTTCCCATTTCTTGTTGGGTACCTTAAAGTGTGCAAGTACAGCCGTGAGAATGAACCCATAGGGTATGGCATGAGTTTTGGTGCCAGTCAGAACTCTATCGAGAAGCTAGATGATGAATCCAGGCCAATTGATTTGCCTCCCACTGTCCAGATATTCCATAAAGACCAGGTCCATGAATGTGGCAATGTGCCTCATTTCTTGCTCAGGCAGCACAACTTTGTTAACAAATTCGAACAACACTTTGTGGGGTGGCTTCATCTCACTTTTGTATATATCCTTGGGCTCAAGCTCTTCTTCATCGTCACCAAATTTTCTTGTAATGGCAAGGGCAGTAGGGAGATTCTCTAAACTTGGCCATTTGAGCTTCTTGTCACTGTCACCCCCTTTACTACACTGGTAACTCTACCATTCTTGATCTCACAATTTGCCATGAACTCTACAATCTCAGTTTTGGCAAGCTTTCCCTCCATATGAAGGACCATGTTCTTCCAACCTTGCAATTGTAATTTTTTCCAGCAGCATCACCATGCCTTCCTCCTCCAAGTTCCCGAGGAGTCTACCTTTCAAGATGGATCTTTTTCCAAACTTAACCATCTTGTCCTTCTCTGCATCGGATTCTTCTTCTTCTTCCCTACTCAATTCTTCTTCTTCCACTATTTTCACTTTTATGGACTTCAAGACAAACCTGGTTCTTTTGACCAAGGTAGATGGCCCTGCAGACTTTGTCTTTGAAACAGACTTCTTTGTAGAAGTCTTGATCTTATTTGCCTTTGGAGTCACAACCTCCATTTCTTATGCCTCCTTTTTATCCTGAAGAACCAGGTCCATCTCATCAATTTCAACTGCCTCAACAGGCTCAACCACCTTCTTCTTTCCCTTAGCAGCAACTTTTCTCTTACTTTCTTCTAAAGCCTTTTCCAGTTCAGCCTCACTCTGCTTCTTCTGACTCCTTGTAGCTCCCCCTCTTGTAAGAGGAGTATCTACATGAATAGACGAGGTAGCCCTTTTTTTCTTGTTTTCCCTAACAGTACCGGAGACTCTAACTTCTGAACTTCTTTTCTTTTTAGGATTGTAACTATCAGACACCTTTTTCAGTAAGTCTTCAAGGGGTTCCTGCTCAGATGGAACAAGTTCTTGAACCTTCTTCCCCAATCTAATCAACCCCTCAGCAGCTTCTCCAGACCAACTTTCCCCTTTTTCTTTCACATTTTCTTCTTTTCCAGTTGATTCCTCACTCCCTCCTTCCATAACTCAATCTTCTTCAATCAAACTAACAGGGGTGGGTGAAGATTCAGCCATTCCATATCCCATTCCCCTCACATCACCTTGAACACCCTCACTCTCATTTTCTTTTCTCCTTTTATTTTTATCACCTATTTTCTCAGACTCAGCAGTCTCTACCCTAGCCACTTTTCCTACCAGAACAAATCTAGTTTACCGATTTGCAGTAGCTTCAGAGGTTACTTCAGATATAACTTTAGGACAAGATTTTACCTTCTTTGTTTCTGATGAAAATGTTTCTTCCCCTTCAGTTGCATATTTGAAAGAGTCTTCAGATTTTTGGGGTTCAACTCCCTGACTTGCCCTCAACTGCTTATTGATTTTCTTGATTTGTTCTTTTCCAGCAACAACTTTGCGAGCTAGCATCTTGAACCTTTCTTTCTTAAATGTGGGTATGATTGAGGGTGTGATGGATGGTGTATGAGTTGTTTCCTTGGGTGGTGATGAAGGATTCTCAGAAGGATTTTCCATCGCTGTGTTTAGGTATGAGAGAAGATGAGTATTTGTGTGTTTGGAAGATGAGAGAAAATAGTGAGAATTTTGACAGCTTGGAAACTAGGAATTGAAGAAACAATTAAGGCCTAATCAATTTAATGAGGCGGAGTTTAATTGGGTAACAACTACCTTTACAGAAGTTCAGAGGTCTAATTAACTTGGGAGTCAGTTTGAGGAGACTTTTGTGACTTTCCCTAGAATCTAGGCACTTATTGCGTTTTGGGACTCTTTTGAATGAAACAGGTTCATTTTGTAATGGATAAGCTCAAAGAGGTTAGGATTAAATGAGACTCTCCTCTTGATCATAATCCAAATATAATTATTTCAAAATATGCAGAGTGGAGAATATGTACCAAGTAATCTTGATGAACCAGACTCTTCACTAAGAAATCTCTTGTGTAAGTCTGAATTTTTCAAGAAAATAGAGATAATATCATTAAGATTAATGAGTCATTTTAGCACATGGAACAAGAGTATACTGATGAAAGTATGAAACTAAGCAAAATCTAATCAAATTATGTACAAAAGTTCACAATTTCTCTAACCAATATTTTTGAGTTAGAACTGGTTCCTTTTAGGTGATCTTAATCATCCCTAATTCTAACATGTTCCTTTCAAAGTGATTTCTACTTAGACCTTTTGTGAAGATGTCAGTTATTTGCTTGTCAGTAGCACAAAATTCCATAGTGATAAAACCCTTCTCATAGTTGTCCCTTAAAAAATGATGTCTAACATCTATGTGCTTATTTCTCTTGTGATGAACTGGGTTCTTAGTCATACTAATTACACTAGTGTTGTCACAAAAGATGGGGATACAACCTACATCAATTCCAAAGACCATTAATTCTTGTTTGATACACAACAATTGAGCACAACATGAGGCAACAACAACATACTCATCTTCAGCAATAGATAAGGCCACCGAATTTTGCTTTTTGGT